AAGTATAAGTTGAAGAAATTTAAAAAGAATATAAATAAAGATAATTTTATTAAAATATAAAAGTTTGTTGTATCGAGGAATTAAATATAAATAGATGTATATTGTTTTTAGGACAAAAAGTTGTAAAGAAAGGATTTAATTAGAAGTTTAAGAGCTGTTAATTTAATAAAATATTGAGAAAAGTTGAATTGTTTGTTAGAGAAAAGTTGGTTTTAGTGATCTACAGAGAGAGTTAAGTGATTTGTGTCCCAAATATGTTTGTTGAATACTAGCAATTTTTAATGAATTTTGTTTTTTCTTCTTATAAACTACCTGATACATTATATACTGGTATTTTTGTTGTATATATTCTTTTATTACTACAATCTCTGTTTAAGAATAACTAGATACTTTGTTTTAGTAGTTCTTTTATAGTATTATCTTTGTTTTTTTATTGTTTAGTTTCATGAATTCCATCTTTTTTATTCTTTTCAATTTCTTCTTGGTTTCTAATTGCTATAACAATGTTTTTATAATTCTTTTGTATTATATTTGTCTTTAATGCTTTTATTTTTTCTTCTATATAATTGTTTGTTTTTGTCTCTTCAATCATTATGCTTGTTGTTTTTGTATCTGTGATTTTTTTGTTTTTTCTTCTTTTTTTGTCTTTCTTTCTCTTCTAACTTGTATTTTGTTATTTCTTTTTTTTTATTTATTACTATATTTACTACTTTTGTCTTTTGTTTTATTTTCTCTATATACATTTCTAGTGTATTGATTTTCTCTTTTGATATTGTTTAGGCTTTTTTGCTTCTTATACTTTGCATTGCTAGTGGATTTTGACTCATGTAATTTATCTCTTTTGCCCATTTTTTTACACTTGTTAAGCTTTCATATCTACTTTGATTATTTCTTTGTATATTTTTCTTAGTATTACTGTTTTTATTAGATCTGTTTTTTATAGTACTGCTGCTACTATATCTTTTACATCAAAATAGTTGTTTTTATTTACTAGTTTTTACTCTAATTTTTTGCTGTCTATGAGCTTTAGTTCTGTCTTTACTCTTTTATTTATCAATTTTAGTATTATTAACTTTTCTATCTTTACTTGTATTATTTTTGGCTGTGTTTTATGTTATTTTTTTATTTGTTTACAATTACATGCATTTTGTAATACTTATATGTTTATTCTGTCTATATTTGTATATATCTATTTGATTGTATTTTTATATGTTTATGTATTTCAGACAAATCTGTGACTTCAGGTCTAAACTATTTCTCCAAAATTTTTATTTTTCAAAACTTGTTTGGCAAGTTTGTCTTTTCTTTACTTGTTTTTTAACTTGTTTTCTTCTATTGCTCTACTTGTAAGATCTATTTTATAAACTTTTTTTTTTGTTAAATCTTTGAATACAGTATTGACAATAGTTTTTCTGTTAGTCTTAATTTTTGTTTCTGCTAATTTTGTATTTTGATGATTGGTGAAAAGAGTTTGATTAATGAAAAAAAACTCTTAGATTTAAATATGTATTATTACTTAATTTTTATAACCAATTATATTAAATTTAAGATAATTATTTTTAACTTAAAAAGATTAAATAATCAGCAAAACCAATAAAACATTTTAATTCTTTTTAGTTAAAAATTTTATTAAATTAGAAAATTACATTCTAGAATGATCTTTGTATCATTCTATGAATTTGATTAGTTTTGTAATATTTTTTATCATCATGAAATCTTTTGATATTTTATTTATTTATTTGATATTAAATAATATATAAATAGCTAATATATGAGTGTCATCAAAAGAAAACTTAACAATTTAAATATAGAACTTTTGTATAACAAAATGTGGAATTTTAAAAATAAATAACATGTGATTAAATAACAATATATTATTTTAGAATTCATTTTAGTTGTTTTGATTGTGCATTTTAAACTTTATTTTTTTTTTTTTGGCTCTATATTATCTTCATTTTGTTTTTATTTTGCATTTTATTTATTCTATTTTTTTACACAAATCATCTTTAAATTTTTAGCTCTTTCTATTGTATTACTCTGTAGTTTGAGACAAAGCTCATCATGGAATGTAATCAGGCAGTATAGATAAACTTTCTCTTATAATTTTACTTGTTTTTTATCCGAAAGGCCTCTTGGAAGAAGTTCTTGAAGGCTTAAAGTTTCAACTTCAATATTTTTTTTAATAATTAAAACTCATTTCAAGAATTATTTATTCTTACTTTAGCTCTTATTATACCAGGTTTCTTATGATTAAACTAGAAAAAATAATATTTTTGTATAGCTAAAAGTTTACAATACAATTTGTCAAGTGCTGAAATCTAGTCACAGAATGGTCTTATTTGATTCTCTAAATTTACAGGCATATTGTTACTTGTACTTTTTTCTATTACTTCTGCTAATTGATTTATACATCAAACTTTTGATCTAGCATACTTCTGTTTTATAAGACCAAACTCACGATTGACTGAATTTCTAGTATAGCCTTTAATTTAAAAATAATATTCAACTTCTTTGAATATTTGGGCATAACAGATTCAAAGAAGATACCAAAAAGAAAACAAGAAATTTTATTCTGTCTATTACAATTATCTGTCCATAATCAAATTGTTTTTGCATCACTTGCAGCAGAAGTAAGAAATAGATACACAATCAAAGCAACTTTATTTGCTTCTTTAAAAGCTTTTTCTTCTATATATATTATATGACAATAATTATTAATACCTTCATTTACTAAACTGAATTGGTATGTTTTTAATGATGATAAATAATACTACTTTTCAGGTTGTTGAGGATCATGAAACAATTCTACATCTTGGGCAAAATCAAAGAAGAAAGTGCGAAATCAGGTTCGATCACATGTCTTGGCAATTCATATATTATCTTTATTGGCATCTCTTATTGCATAATAATTAGCTATATATGTTGATAATTGTATATCAAGATTCTTATTAATATCATATTTTTCTTTAATGCCTATTTAAACAAGGTACATTTATCATACACATCTTTGAAAGATTTTCTAATTGAGATCTTACTAAGTATAGAATCGCTTCTTTATATTTTTTTAAAGTATTGCAACTTTTAATCAAATTATTAGAATTCATCAAGTTATATACAGTCAAAAGATGATTATAAAAATAGTGAAAAGTAAAGAGAACATTATCATGCTTTTCATAAGTCACTATTATCTGCCCATCTGTTTTTTTTTGAATATACTTTTAAACTGCTAATGCTTTATTATGTTATTCACTCATCAAATTAATAAAAGATTTTGTTTTATTAACTGTCTTAGTAGACAAGGTAATCTTAGGTGAGTAACCAGTATTACTATAAGATTGGAGTAACATAGATTTACATTCTTGAATCCAACTATGAAGATTATATAATGCATCTTTATCACATAACCAAAATGTTTTAAAGAAAGAACAGCAAACTCTGCCAAAATATAGGAATAGATAATTCTTAACATAGATCTGGTTTTCATAAGGTATATTATAAAGAGAAGCTATAAGAATTATTATTGAATAGCATCTTTGATTTTTGTTCATTCAAAGACTTTCTAATATTAAGGATTGTAAAAAACTTGACTTAACTTTTTTAATACAACTGTTTTTATATAAACAACAGTTTCTAAGTTTACCAATTAAGTTATTTATAGCTATTCAGTCATTTTCATTAATTTCTTCACTTTCTTCATTTGACTGATTAATTTTTTCAAACTCCTCTTCTATAGTATCTTCATATTGGAAATCTCTATCTGATTCAAGAGTGACAAAATCAAGAGTATCAATAAAGTATTCTAAATTTTGAGCTACAGTATTGAATGATTCTATTATTAAATTAATTAAATTTCAATCATGACAATTTACTTATGTATTTATACAATTTTTTTAAATAAATTTCAATTCAATTATGACAATTCACTTGTATATTTATACAATTTTTTAAATAAATTTCAATTCAAAAATTTATTGATTATTTTCAAGTGCAATCTCATAACTAGTGTTGGTAATGAAGATCTATAGAGTCCTGAATTAGAGATGTCAAACAAAGACCCAAATAAAAATTATGACATTTTTACTAATTTGCATAATTCCAAACTCAAACAAATCAACCTGTCATTATGTATGATAATTGTTTAGTCTTTTACTGCAGCAAAAGATATATAAATAATTTTGGCATTTAGATTTGATCTGTTTGACTATTAGGATTACTGAAGTGTTTCAAATAATTCAGATCAGATGGATTTAGATTATTATCCAATTTGAACTGTAAAATCTGTTTTGAAAAAAAGTTTTAGATTGCCTAGATTAAGTCTAATTTTGAGATTTGGGTTTTTTATATTGCATTAATATATAAATTCAAAGTTGATTATGTTAAAGTATTGGCTCTGGATTCAAACCAAAACTTTGGATTCAGTTGGCTTCAGCTCAATCCTGGATCAAACCAAGTTAATTGGAACATTAGATTACTGTTTGACAATTGGGATTATTATAGTAACTACTATTGTCAAAATTTACAACACCTTTATCCTAAATGGAGCTAGCAAATGTAATCTAAATGCATATCTGATTTAAAAAAACCCTATATAAATAATTTTAATTTCATTTCAACCATTATATCTAATTTAAAAAAAAAAAAAAAATCTACTCCTCAAAATTTATAAATTTAATTTTAACCCAACTGTGCCTAGTTTACAAAAAAAAAAAATTAAAAGAATCTTATTGATCATTTGAGTGATAATTATCACTTCACAATCGATTGTAATTATTATAGTTAATCAAAAAATGAATTATTAAAAATTTATTGTTTGAAATGTAGATTTTATATTTTAACCAGTCAGAGAAGCTCTATGAAAAAAATTGGTAGTTATAGCTTCAGGTTTTTTTGATCTAAATAATAATCATGATCTATTTTTTTAGTTAATCAGATCATTTTGTAAACACATTGAGAGAGATGCTTGAGAATGGCCTTAAACAACCCCTTGTAAGAGTGTCAAATTATCTTTTAAGTTCTAACCCAATCTCTAAAATAATTTTTTATTTTTATTTTTTTTATTTTTTATTTTTATTATTATAATATCAAGTAGGAAAAATATTAATACATAAATATATCAATTGAATATAAATGTATAAGTAAGAATTATTCCTAAGCTACACTATTGTTGCTATATAATGACATTTAGTGTGATATTATCCTTTAGTTATTTGTTATTAGTTAAATCAACTATTTTAATCGTTAACTACAGAAAGGGTAAAAGGAACCCTTGGGGTTGTTAAAGTTAATAGAAGCAATTATATATAGAAAAGTTTTGAGAAAGAGTTTTAGAAATAAAGGAATCTATATTAGTATTAAATATAAAACTATTGTTAGTAGAATTGGAAGGTTGTAGGGTAGGTAATCAGATATTGTTTTTCTTTTTGGTTGAGGCAGTAATTCCTCATGCTAATTCCCATTCATGTTGTTTAGTATTCTGGATTTGCCAAATAGTAAAGTTGAACTAGTTAAGTAGAGAGTTGGATAGGAGAATAAGGAAGTTGATTGTTAGTTTTTTTAAAGTAGGTTGAAGTTGTTTATATTGGTCAAGAGTTATTGTTCCCTAGATGAGTAAGAGTATTGTATTATGTATAGTAGAATTTGGGAGTGAGTTTTGTAGATTTAGAATTTGTATTATTATATGTGGTGAAGTTTCTAGGAGATTTAATGAGCTTAATGTATTTGAAATTTCATTGGTAAGGATGGTATGTGGATTGTAAGTGTGAAGTGAACATTGTAATAAATGTATAATATTTTCATATTGATTGCAAATTGAGCAGTTTGAGGTTAAAAAAAGAAGAGGATAACGAATATTCAGGTTTGCCATTGTGGGTAAGTTGTTTAGAAGTATTTTGTTTCTAATAGAGTATAGTTTAGGGTTAGAGTTTTGGGAATTAATAATTTCAGTAAATAGTTGAATGTTTATAATAGGAAGGTCTTGTAGTGGTTTGAGTTGAAGGAGTTTGTTAAAAGTTTAGATAGAGAGTAGGTTTCTGCAAAATTTCTATAGTTTATATGTAATTGGTATTTCTTTCCAAGTAAAGAAGATAGATAGGTAAAAGGAGTCAAGATTAAGTTTTAGTTTGGTTTTACCAGCACCTTGTTTGGCTAAAGCATCAACTATGTTATATAGAATGTTGTTAGAATGTGATTTAACTTTATGGATAATATAATTAATATTTTTGAGTTTGGTTAGGTAATTTAAAATATGAATGATATCCTAATTATTTTGTTTGGTTTAAGAGTTGTAGTTGTAAGGTATTAAGTTTGTGAGAGTTTGGATGGTAGATAGACTATCAAGATGAATATGAATTTGGTAATTAGTAGGTAGGATAAGGAACAAGAGAATAAGTGCTGTGAGTTCTGCTTGTATAGAGTTTGGTGCATAAGGTATAGAGGCATTGAATTTAATTTGTGTATCGTTTTCGAGAATCCAGGCAATACCAGTAGATATGTTATGTGTTTGTAAATTGAGTATAGAGGCATCAGTATAGAAGTGTAGATTAGTTGAATTGAGAAGTAGTATTTTTTGATAAAGGTTTATGAGTTGGTTTTAGTAGATAGAGTTTGGTATTGTGTTTTGTATTAGAATGGTTTCTGAGGAGGATAGTAAGAGAGTTGGTAAAGACTGTGGAGCAGGTTTATACAACTCTGTATAAATATTTTGAAGTGCTTGAATTTCTTGGATATTTATGTTAAGTTCAAAGTGTTGTGATCTTTTTTGAGTTTTACATTTTAGATTGATAGTTTGTTTGTAATTTATTTGAAATATTGTAGATGTTGGAGAGATGTGAATTGTGTTAGTTTTTGAATTGATAATTTGGTATCTTTGGAAAAGTATTTGAGAATTAGATGTATTTGTAATTTTTCTAATAAGCCAATTTGAAGATGAAATATAGAGTGTCCATGTGTTTTTAGAGCCATTAAATTGAGGTATAATGAGGTTGAGTGTATTTAAGAAGGGGTTAATAGGTTGAAGTTGGAGATTAGGCCATATGTGTAAGATGGGAAGAGTAGAGATTTGGTTTGAAAGTATTTTGAACCATCTCAGTGTAGGACCTCATAGAGATTTAAGGGTTCTGAGGTATATGTTTTTCCTTGGAAGTAAGTTTAGTTATCCGCTGTGAATAGTTGTTCAAAAAAGAGGATTTTGTTGTTTTTGAGCCTTAAAATCGTCAAGTTATTTGAAGAAATAAAGTTGTAAATATTATTTAGTTGATTAGTTTGTTTGTGGGTTGTTAGTTGGTTTAAATGAGAGTTGTTAATAAAGATATTATTTTTGTATAAGTAGTAGAGTTGAGAAATTATGGTAAAATTAGTAGTTTTTCTGTAGTTTTCAAGATTGTGTTTTGAGTTAGAGAAGGTTTTTATATTTTAGAAAGCCATTCTTTAGTACGATGTATAAAGATTTGATTTAAGAGTTTATTAATGTTGAAGCACCTTTCTATATTACTATTGCAGGTTTGTAACATAAGTTTGTTAAGTGTTGGAGTATTGAGTAGTTGTGGATTAGTAAGAATACATTGTTTATATTGATAGATAAATGGAGCATATGTTTGGTGCATTTTATTAGAAGACTTGAAAGTTGTTGAAATTTGTTTTGTGGAGGAGAGCATATTTGAAGTAGATACTCTATTGATAGTAATAGGATAGTATTAAATAGATGAGATATTTGTATAGAAAGAAGTTTTTTGTATTAGATAGTATGGATAAATTGGAAGGTTTTGTCAAAGATTTTGTCAAGTGTTGGTTTAGTTAATCCTTTTCCATCAAGAAAAATTCCTAGATATCTGATTGTTTCATTGGATTTTCTAGGTGTAATTGGTTGATTATTGAAGGTAAGAGATGTAATATCTGGTGTGATGTTAGAATGTATTTTTTGGTTGGGTGTGATGTGGATGAGATCTGATTTAGATGGGTTAACTTGGATATTATTTAGTTGGTAGAGTTCAGATATGTCGTTTAAAATATCTCAAAGATCATTTTTAGATTCATAGTGCCAAACTGTGTCATCTATAAATGTAAGAGGTGGTATTGTTGTATTTGTTGGTATAGTTAAGAAGATTTTTTCTAAAGGGAATTGTGATGAGATTTTGAGAAGTTTTGAATTGTATTTTGAGTTTATATAGCTGAGAATAGGATCGTAATAAATTTTCCAGAATAGTGGAGAATAGGTTTCCCCTTGTTCAATGCCTGAGTATAGTGTGATTGGATTAGTAAGACCGTAGGCTGTGATCGCTCTAGTTTTCCTATCTTAGTGTAAAAATTTGATAAAGTTTAGGCCTAATTGAAGAATACCAATATGTTTGCAAGCATCCAGCAACCATTTGATATTGATTTTGTCAAAAGCTTTGAACATATCTTAGAAGAGTATTCAAGCTTCTTTGTTGTTAGTTTTGTAATATTCAATTGTATTAAGTAATATTTGTATAGAAATGTGAGTAGAGTTGTTTTTGGTTACTGCAAAGTTGAGATCACTTAGTAGATGATGTTGGTTAATGATGTGATCAAGGCATGTTGTAAAGATTTTGATAAGGCATTTTTTGATGGGTTCGATAAGTAAGATAGGTCTAACTTGATCCAAGGTAAAGTCCTATTGAGATTTCTTTGGGATTAGAAATATATTAGATGTTTTCCATATTGTTGGTATTTGTTATAATAAGAGACATTTGGTTAGAAAAAGAATCTCTAAAATAATTAATCAGAACTCAACCTTAAAGGATTTTTGATATAATAAAAATGCTTATCTTCATCATGATTACAATTAATCATAAAATAATAATCATCACTCAAACGAACAATGTGATTCAGAATTTTGCAAATCATAATAATCTATTTATTTATAGAGAAAACTGACTTTCTAATAACTTCATTTTTAATTATGTTTATTCAGGCACAAGAAACTTAAATAGAGTCAATGAAACTCATTTGATTCTTATCTATTGAAGTCTATTCAGAACAGGATACATTTGGGTGTTATTTTGAGATTATATATACTATTTTTAAGGAACAATTTTTAAATAATGTTATGTTCATTATTTTATTTTTAATCAAAGAAATTTTGAAATAATTTTTAATTATATTTATTAATTGAAAAATGAATAGTTTTGAAAATGTATTTGCACTATAATGATATATTCAACACAAATTTATTTATTATAAATTATAATTTTCTATATAATATCATTTAATTTTTTTTAGATCACTAATCTGCATCTTTAAAATGCCACCTAGATATAGCAAGCCTTGTGCAAAAAATTCAAAAAAAAATGCATACATTTTAGATCTTCAAAACAAAAAAAAAAAAGAGCTCATTGAACTACATCATGAATATAGAAAAAAATTAATATGGAAGTAAGAAATAAAGAATATAAATTAGAAGATGGTAAAGTGAAAAAAAAAGAAGAAAATATCAAAATGAAGAAAAATGATCAAACTTCTGAATTAGAATAATGGTATAAATAGCTTTGTGATAAAATAGATTGACTTTTTTCTTTATTTTTTTACCATTAATTCTCATTTTCCTGAAATATATCTTTCTAAAATACCATTTTCCTAATCCCATAATTCTATATTTCTTTTTTCTGACAAGATATATTTCTGACAATATATTTTATTGATAAAAATTTTTTTCTAAATTTTTTTTTTAACACAACCAATTTCCAACAATCTGAATTTCTAAAAAATTTTATTTATCAGACTTTTTTATTGACAAAACTCTTTCTCTGAACATTTGTCTTTCAAACAAAAATTTTTTCTAAAACCTTTTCACTGAAAATATTTCTTCAAAAGAATCATGTTAATAAAATAGACATTGGTGAAATAAAAATTGCAGATAAATGACTTATCAGTAAAACTTATTATCAATTAAATAATATCTTGATAAAATGAGATTATATCTTGTTGGTAAAATAGGATAATTTCAATGAAATAGTATTTCAGTAAAATTGATTTTTAGAAGTTAACTCATAATCAGATTAACTTATTAAATCTGTTATATCTGACATTTCATAAATAAGTAAAATAAGAGTATCTGTTACATTAAAATAAAGAAAAAGTAGTTTGCTATATTATTCTTTCTGTCCCATTATTTTTATTAAAAAGTTGTTACTTATCATAAGAAAGAGAAAGTAAAAGAACCCAATTCTTATTATTTACCTATATACCTATTGCTTATTAATAATCCCTGTGATTCATTGTTATCATCAATCAAATTTGTTAATCATATAGCCAAAAAGACTAGAATAATAGACTGGAATATTCTTTCTTGTTACATGCATTCTATAAATAATTTCAAAACCCACATTCTGTTATACAAATAATTTTATATTTAAATTGTCAGGTTTTCTTTTAATGACACTCATATAATGTCTACTTTAAATCATCCTATTTTATCTCTTGCAATAAACTATTATAAAAAAAGTAAATGAAAACTAACTTCTTTTAGTTAATAAAAAGATTTAAATTTTGTTGTGGTTAAATGTGATTGATCAATTACATGGGATTTTCGTACAACCAAATGATCTAGAATTATGTAATCGACATTTCCATACTATACTGTCCATTTTTGGGGGTCGTCTAAAGCCATGTACCCACGTGACTTTTTTATGTAAATCAACCAAACGGAATTACAAAATTTTGTTTACACGGATCAGTCTGAAGTTGACAAAGAATAAAAAAAATGCAAAAAGATGGAAAAACAGCTTTCTAAACCTGTCTTGGGACACTAATTAAAAATGTAGGAAAGGCAATTTTACCTATACCCCTTTTCTTATACTAATACCAACCTAACCCCAATCCTAACACTAATTTTAATAAAACGTCAAAATCACGTGGGTACATAGCTTTAGCCATCCCCCATTTTTGGTAAAATCCCTGACTGCATTATGGCAACCCATCATTATAAAATAACATTCAAACATTATTAAATACCTGTACTCATGGGCAGCGTTGTACATTTTGACTGTCCCAAGCTTTTTTTCTTTGTTCCGTCCTATTCTGTCCCAACTTTGTCTCATCAATATCTCAACTACTAATTTATAAAATTATATAAAAATGATATGATATATGTAAAATTAAATTTGAATAATTATTCAATTAAAATTTAAAGTAAATTATCTTAAAAAATTTTAAGTAATTGATGCTTTTTAAAACCTTAAATTTGTCCCAAAATTGTCCCAACATACGTACGTATATGAGTGCTGTCAAAGTCATCAGACTTTCAATTATATTTTGTATCGAACTCAACCTATTTGATTTATTATTGATTGCGTCCGGTACAAGATAAAATTGAAAGCCCGATGACGGATTTTTCCTTGACGGCATTCATATATATAAACCTAGAAAGATAAAAAACGTGTTTTAAAGCTATTGTTCGTGTGATATGATGTGAATTATTTTTGCCCTGATATTTTTGTCATAAAATGAAAATATTCATTTATCAGAGTTAATGTGCTGCTACGCAACATATGGATGTCCGATGAAAAAATTTACGTTTAACAATCTATTAGAAATTTACCCTTATCCACGTAATTTGTTAATTATATTTAACCGAACAAATAAAAAATGTTTGCTTTGAAATTTTAATAATCTTTTTATTTAACCATTTATTATACGAAATTCTCGTGAAATCTCTTGATGTTGTCTGGAATTATCTTTATAACACGTATCAGCATAAGTATAATATAAGTATGGTGTAAGTTTGTATTCTATGTATCATATACTGTAATAATACCGTAATATTATAATAATATCTGGTCTAATAATACCATAGAAACCAATGGATCGGACCAGTCCGATCCGATCCGAGGGTTAGAAATGAGTAAATTGTCAAATTGTATGTTATTTGTATAACAAATACATTTAATTGATCATTAATTAATAGAAAGGACAGCTTTATTTTAATTTGGTACGTATGTACATATTTTGATCGGCGTATTTGTTTTTGTATTAGTGCTATAATAATAATTTTGGTTATGGTAATAAACAGTGATGGTAGGATTTAATCTAAAGATTTCCTTTGTTTGGTAAAGTTGACGCCTCACGAGCGGTTTATACGTATGATCATTTTTATCAAAATCATTTATGAAATTTGTTACACCTAATCATTATTATCCAATTATTTTCTTAATCATTTCTCACTGTAATCAACTATATAATTATTATATAGCGATAGTAATTATTAACTAATTATACTAATTATTATATGGTTACTATAATTAGATCTATCTGTAATCTCTAATTTCGTAAACCATTCTTACTGAAACCTTACTGATAAACCATCAATTATATAATATTACTTTTACAATCTGTTCATATATAACTGCCAATAATTATTACAAAAATTATAAAAGTGAAATTAATTAAATAAATGACTTGTATAAAAAATTATATATATAATCATCGAAAATTTTCGAAGCCATATAACTTTTGAGTAAAAAAAAGAAAAAAAAAAAAGAAAAAAAAGAAACAGTATGGTAATCATAAAAATTTATCATGCAAATTATTATATGTACAATCAATCCTTTTAATTCAACATTAAACTACAATATTCTAAATCTCCATCAACCTGGATTGTAATCGGAAAAGAATAAAAAAACCTGTTTAAAATAATATTAATAATATATCGTCCACCAATCTATATACTACAAAAAAAATATAATAATAATAATAATAATAATAATAATAATAATAAAATAATAAGATTAAAAAAAAAAAGAGTCTTAGTTATGATTGTAGTTCCTCATTAGCCCAATCTCCATATTCATCTTCCTCTTCTTCATCGTCACCTATCAAAGCGACATAGTTCTCCGGAACCAGCCCGGTTTTGTCATTTAGTTCTGCAGATAACCATCCAACACCTGATCGTTGTTTTATTATCAAAATGTCCCCTTCCTTAAAACTTAATTCATCAGCATCTCCTGCAGGAAAATCATAAAGTGCTCTAGCTCTACGGTCTGTGTACTCATCTTCATTCTCCCCTTCATCTCCTGTAAATGGACATGGTTGTCCCCAATGTCGAGGATCATCACTCTCAAATCCAAAATCTCTGATTTTAATTTCTGGAAATGTATAATTTTCTGCTTTAGGTAAAACATTATTATCATCTAGTAAATTTTTTTTCCAAACATATTAGCAACTTTTGTTTTTGTGTTTTAAAAAAAAAGTCATCATAGATAGATAGATATACGTTATAATAGATACATATATATATACATATATTGAATTACCTTTGATTATCTTTTTATTACCAATAAAAAAAAATTTAAAAAAGTTTGAGAAAACCGTTAATAATAAATTAAATTGTATGGGAGCTATTTTTTCTTCAAAGTTAAATATTACTAACCGAACTAGTTTTTTTATTTTTCTCAGTTTCCCCCGCCAAAGTTTCCAAAAGTACTCTAGTAAGTTCTGGGTCCATGTCTGCCATGTCGGTTGTACCAGCTATATTATTATTTTAATGTTGTTAACAGTATTTAAAAATAATTATATATTATAATAATTATAATTTTTGGTCTCAGTAATAAAAACCTTTACTAGCAATCTCAAGTGTTGTGGTTTCTTGCTTCATTCTTTCTCATTCTCGATACAAATAATTTTTTACTTAATATATAAAATGTTGAAAAAAAATTAATCACCTGATACATAAATTTTATTACAATAAGTAACGGTAACACGAATTTTAATTTTACTGCATTTGCCAAAAATACCTTTTGAGTAACCCTAGTGCTAAGTGAATTTTGAATCTGTGTCCGGTTTAGATCATGAGACAACAATCACGAGAATTTACTACGTATAACATCTAGATGTCGCGTAACCATATTATATACATATATACCGTCTTTCGCCTGGGTATATTACCAGGTTTATGACTTGTATTTTTAGTACAAGACCAGGTATATTATCAGTTTATTTTTTATTTTTTTGGTATTAAGGTGATCTCTTTGGTCTTTTAATTTTATTAGCACTTTTTGGATAACATAGTTTTATAAGAACTACTATAGAAAGAGTGTACAACTGGTTACATATGTAATGTTTTATATTACTTATTTAAGAAGCCCACCTAAGAGTTCTTTACCAGTTGTTATACTTAACATCTTTGCTTGAGTGTTTTATTTAAACCTTCTGAATTTATAACTTGTATCAACTTTATTAAGTCATTCTAGATTTTTGTTTTAATCTTAAAATTAATTTTCCTTGAGGTATACTTTCTGGAATTTTTTGTATTCTTATTTACAGTTGACTTGAAATTGTTATAACTGAACTAACACTTATAGTCTGAGTTACTATTAAACTATTATACCTTTATAAAGTTTATACAACTTTAATATTTTCTTTTATAATTTTATTAGTATCTTGTTTACTTTTGTAAATTTTTTTATGCTACAAATTTAGAAGTTTTGTATAATATGACTTTATATTTAAATTAATTGATAATCAGGTTAGTAGATTTTTTTTATCTAAAAGTTCTTATTTATATATTTTTAGATTAAGATTTTTACAAATAGTACTATTAAAGATTATATTATCTTTTTATTTGAAATTTTTAAACAAAACTTTTTATAAAGTATATATTTTTCAGATTTATTTATATAATATTGTATACTTTCAAAGTTAGTCTTAGTATAATTAAAATTACAAAATTACAATCTCAAATATTTTATAAAATAAAATTATTTTTTTAAAATTTTGTCATTAGTAAGATTTGAACTTTAAATCTACTATTTGAAGAATAATAATTCAACTACTATATATTATTAGTTTTATTATTTTTTTTTTTTAGTATTAAGATAAGGTCTTGCTCATATCTTTATTGGTAGTTTAAAAATTAGTAGTTACATGAAGTTGCTATGTACAAAAAGTAACTTTTTATATAAATGCTATAGCTGAAACCAACACTTGCAATTAGGGCTAAACTATTAAACTGCTAACTATATAACTACTCTAAATACAAATAAAAGAAAAACTACATTCAAGAATAAAAGCTCAAACATATTTATCTGTGACCTAAACCTACTAGAGTGGTCAAGACTTACCTAAATTTGTAGTTTTATTATTTATAAAAGATTTAATAATATATTTAAAGTTTTTTTAATTCTTATATATATATATATATTACAATAAATATTAAATAATATTTATTTTATTATTAATAATAATATTATTTAAAATACTAAGTATAATTAAAATATTTATATTTAATAAAATTATTATCATTTATTTTTTTAATAATATGTAATTTATTTATTTATTATAGTTTTATAAAATTTATTTTTAGATAGTTTTTAGAAATTTTTATTATAAGTATATTGTGAAACTATATTATAAAGCTTATTATAATGTATCATTTATAATAAATATTTTTAAATTTTTTTTTTAATATTAATAATAAGATCATACCTTTATCTTTATTAAATATTTAATTAAGATTTTACATAAAGTACAATTCTGCTTTTAAAATATTATAAAAAAAATAGAAGCTTAAACTAATTTATCTGTGATCTAAACTAACTAAAATGATCAAAACTTATCTAGATTTAAGTATTAGTAATTATATATAGAAAATTAGTTTAATATTTAATCTATTAGATATTTCAGAAGTTTATTTTTAAACTAATAAAATTGAGTAAAAGAGAATGTAATAAAAGTGAAACAGTATTTAAAAGTGTATTATATTCAGAAGTTTAAATTATAAATCTTGAGATACAATATGAAATTTAGATTTTATGATAGATTTATTAATTAAGATAAAGTAAGAACTTAATAACAAGTATTGTAGTTACTTTTTTAAATAACAAACTTACAATAATGTTAATAAGTTTATTTGGTATTAGATCTGTTAGAGTTAAAAAGATTGAGAGTAAATCTGATATACTGTAAATAGTCATATTAGTGCCAAAGCTAACTTATATACTTCAAATTATGAAGTTGGTAAAAAGAATAATAGATGTTATACAAAGTTCAATAATAGGTTTAGCCAAGCACAAACAGAAATCACAAAAACAGTAAGCAATAGCATAATTATATGCAGAAATATAGACAACTGTAATGTACTATAAAATTAACTTGTAACAAATCAAATTACAGATTTACATATAAGACTTAATTCAACTAGATTAAAGGAGATATTTACAAAAATTAGAGTAAACTAAGGCCTTTTGCTTGTTGGTACAACAGAGAAAAATTGACATAAAATTGTATCAAAAATATATAACAGTCTATAGAAAAATAATTTGATATATCAAACAATATTAAAAGCAAAGAACTTGCAAATATCACTTTATTTCAACAATATAAATATTAAAAAAAAGAAGAAAAAATAAGAATTGCAGAAGTACTAGAAAACAAACTTACCTTTCAGATAGCCTTAGCACTAAGAAGACTTAACATAATCTCAATAAACCAGCTTATTAATAAAGCAGATGACAAAATAATTTCCTGACATCAACTTAAATTATTAAGAAGAAAATCAAGCAAAAATAAAACAGTTAGTTGGTTTAAAAAAATTGAAGAAATGATATTAAAAAATAAGAACAACAAACAACTAAAACCTAAATATATTACCAAATAGAAATAGAAAAGCACTTCAAACACTACTCAATAGTTACTCAAGGAACAATAAGAAAAAAAAATAAATAATACTAAAATTATCAAAAAGAAAAGAAACTAATAACTTAACAATAAGAAAGGTAATTATAAATATATCAAAAAAAGTACTTACAAAGTATTAAAAAATAAAATCAGTTAAAAACAAGACAAGACAAAACAATTCTTAAAAAGTATAAAGAATATAGTTTTAATTATATAGAAGAACCAAAAAGTTATAGAAAATAAAGTAACTAAGAAGAGGTTCAAGGTTTGTTATTAAGATTTATTAGAAAAGATAATGAGCTATTGCTTGTAATAGGCAAAGAAATAATATATAATGATAACAAAAAAATAAAACTAAAGTAAATAAATCTGAAACTTAGTCCAAAGATATATAGTAATATGCTATAATCTAAACATAAAATTAATTAAAAAACAGGACTAAGTAAAAAGATAAAAGGACCTCTTATTACCAAGAATCAAAAAAATTAATTAAATTTAAATAAAGAACTTATCTTTTATACAAATAGTTTGCTCAAGAAATCAGTAACAAGTAATGCTTCAAATGTTAACTATATAGGAGTAGGCTAAATACAAGTTGATGCAAAAGAAGAAAAAGTAGTGAATAAAAGTGTTATAGGTGTCTGTAATTAGCTTTTATTAACAAAATCAGAGTTACTAGTTATTTGGTTAGTATTTTTAATAATATCAAAAAAAAAAGAATTAAGATCTACACAAACAGTACAGCAGCAATATCAGGTCTTAACAAAAGAAAAAATCTAAAAAGAAGTAGACAATTAATTAAAGAAAAAATCATAACTTGAAAAGAAGTATAATAAAGTTACTTGAATTAAAAGAATTAAAGTTAAAATTAGTTAAAGTAAAAAAATATAGTAATAATAAATAGAATACTAAAGTAGATAAAATAGCAAAAAAGAAAAGTAATATAGAGAATAAAAATAAAATTATAAATATACCTTTATTTAGTTCAAATATATTATTCTGTTGAAAAGAAACAATTATAGAAAGGCCAACAAGACAATTTGTCAAAGATATTTTAGATTTTAAGATTTCTTCAGAATAAAGATTTATATTAATTGTTAAAAATTAAAATTAAATAAAAAAAAAAGAGCACAACTAATCATTACTATAAAAAAAAGTTAAAAATCAAAGCAGAATCAAATATACAAATGTGAAAAAGAATAGAGAAATTGCAACACTAATCAAATGTATTAATGAAAAACTATTAGTATTAAAGATCTTGGTAAAGAGACATTCAGACATATATAAAAAATTATACTGCATTTTATATAATAAAGACTAAAAAGAAGATCAAGAACACTTAGTTATATGTAAAAATTATAGAAAAAGATAGGCTATTACAGAAGATTCAGCTATAAATTTGGTCTAAACAGTGGTTTTAAAAGAAATTTATAAAAAACAAGCAAATCAGAACTAACAAAAATCTTATTCCTTAAACTGTTTTCTAGGCAAATTTGTCTAGATTTTTAAATTAAATTTAGTATTTTTTAAATAATACAATAAATTATTAATAATATAGGATATAGTTTACTTATAAAATATATATATATATATTTTTTGGTATTAAGGTGACCTCTTTGGTCTTTTGACTTTTATTAATCACTTATTGGTATTGTAGTTCAATGAACCACAACAAGAGAGCATACAATTGGCTACACATGTAACTTTTCTATATTACCTATTTAAGGAGTCTATCTGAAGGTTCCCTACCAATTGCTGTACTTAACACCTTTGCTTAGATGTTTCACTTTAAACCCTCTGAACCTGTAACCTGTGTTAACATCACTGAGTTATCATTGT